TTTGAAGACAGTTTTGCTCTTGTTATACAGGCTGGAGTGCAGTGGCGTGATCTCAGCTCACTGCAACCTCCGCCTCCTGGGTTCAGGCGATTCTCCTGCCTCTCGAGTAGCTGGGATCATAGGCACTTGTCACCACACCCAACTAATTTTTTGTATTTTTTTTTAGTAGAGACAGGGTTTCATGTTGGCTAGGCTGGTCTCAGACTCCGGGCCTCAGGTGACCCACCTGCCTCGGCCTCCCAAAGTGTTGGAATTACAGGCTTGAGTTACTGCGCTTAACTGGAAAATTTTGGACATACATAAAGAGAATAGTAAAATGTTACCTTATGTACCTGACCATCAGCTTCAGCAGTTCCCAATCCTAGCCAGTGTACTTGTTTCATTTATATTCCCACCGTTCCGGATTATTTGGAGGCAAATTGCAGATACATTATTTCATCCATAAATATTTTAGTAAGTTTTTTTTTAAATGACTCCTTTTTTTGGCTGCGTACAGTGGCTCACACCTGTATCCCAGCACTTTGGAAGGCCAAGGCAGGTAGATCACTTGTGGTCAGGAGTTTGAGACCATCCTGGCCAATATGGTGAAACCTCATCTTTACTAAAACTACAAAAATTATCTGGGCATAGTAGCCCACTCCTGTAATCCCAGCTACTTGGGAGGTTGAGGCAGGAGAATCACTTGAACCTGGGAGGCAGAGGTTGCAGTGAGTTGAGATTACACCACTGCACTTTAGCTTGAGTGACAAAGCTGGACTACGCCTCAAAAAAAACTTTTTTTTTTTTTTTTTAGAAACATAATTATTGTCACATCTAAAAAAACTAATATTGATTCCTTAGCATCATCAGATATCAGTTTAAATTTCCCCATTTTTATTTTACCTATTTACTTATGAGAAGGAGCCTCGCTCTGTCACCCAGACTGGAATGCAGTGTCATTATTTCAGCCACCGCAGCCTCTGCCTCCTGGGTTCAAGCGATGATTCTCATGTTTCACTCAGCTACCTGAGTAGCTGGAATTACAGGCATGTGTCAGCACCTGGCTAATTTTTGTATTTTTTAGTAGAGACAGGGTTTTGCCATGTTGGCCAGGCTGGTCTCCAAGTCCTGGCCTCCAGTGATTCGCTCACCTTGGCCTCTCAAAGCGCTGGGATTATAGGCATGAGCCACCACGCCCAGCCACAAATTTCCCCAATTTTAAAAACTAATGGTAGGGCAGCCTGGGCAATATAGTGACCTCGTCTCTATAAAAAATTTAGAAATTAGCTAGACATGGTAATTCACACCTGTAGTCCTAGCCACTTGGGAGGCTGAGGGTGGGAGGCTGCAGTGAGCCAGGATTCCATTACTGCTCTCCATCCTAGGCAACAGAGCAAAGCCCTTTTCAATTCCTCACTTAACCGTTTTTCTCCCCGTTGTCTCCATAAGGTTCGAAAGGCTCTTCGGAGTGCAGAAGCCTATGAAAATTTTCTACGCTGTCTTGTTATTTTTAACCAGGAGGTGATTTCTCGCGCTGAGCTTGTGCAGCTAGTCTCTCCTTTCCTGGGGTAAGTGAAGTGAGGGGCTTAGCTCTGATTCGTGTTATGGAGGCCAGGTAATATTTGATTTGTGAGAGTATGTGATAGACAAAGTTAATTTACTTGAGATAGGTTAGTTGACTCAAATATTAGTGTCAAAAGAGTCCCGAGAAGTATTCTAGTCCAATTCTAGAAATGAAAAAATAGCGAGGGCAGTTAAGTATTTATTGACTAATGTCCAAGACTGGTGGCCTCCTGATCTTCTGACCAGTGCTGGATGTTTATTGAGAAAATCTCTCCCAGAGTTCTGGAATCTTTTCTGTATTTGACAACCTAAGAATTATGTGAACATTAAAGCAATATTTTTGATGAAAGAATGGCTTATTTTGCCTGGTTTCAGTACAACTCTTTTATCACCACTTTAACTGATCTGAGCGTATTTTATTAGAAAAAGGGGAAACCAGATGCTCAGAAGCAGTGCTTCTTAGGCAGGAAAGAATTTGTCCCTGGCAGCAGGTTTCTGATCTGAAACCAGATGGTGTTGGTCACACCTCAGGATGACTGTATCATGCCTCTGATTGCTTGTTGCTTTTTGGTTTGATTCTTCAGGAAATTCCCTGAGTTGTTTAATTGGTTTAAAAACTTTCTGGGCTATAAGGAGTCTGTACATCTGGAAACTTTTCCAAAGGAGCGAGCCACAGAGGGCATTGCCATGGAGATAGATTACGACTCTTGTAAACGATTGGGCTCCAGCTATCGAGCCCTACCAAAGAGTTACCAGCAGCCCAAGTGTACCGGACGGACTCCTCTCTGTAAAGAGGTAAGGCCTTCCCTAGCAGGGATCACTGGGTCTTCAGCTTTCTCCGGAAGAGAGTGGTAGTACCAAGGATTGAGAAATTATGTGAATGATGAAATTAAGAACCAATCCTTTTGAAAAATAAAATGTTTTTTATTTTTTTTATTTGTTTTATTTGTTTTTGAGACAGGGTTTCGTTTTGTCACCCAGACTGGAGTGCAGTGATATAATCATGGCTTATAACAGCCTCAACCTCCTGGGCTCAAATGATCCTCCCAAGTAGCTGGGACTTAGACACATGCCCCACACCAGCTAAAAATATAAAAATAAAAGTTTTTACTTTTGTAAAGGTGGGGTCTTGAACTCCTCCTGGGTTCAAGCGATCTTCCTGCTTCATCCTCCCAAAGCACTGGAATCACAGGCGTGAGCTACTGCACCTGGTGTCATGTTTTCCACCTATATCCAGAATCCTTTCCTTACTAATACCTTTTTGTAAACTTGCTGAAGGTGAAATTTGTGAAGTAATGTTAGTTGCCTATTTCTCCCCTAGAGTTTTGTCTTTTTATTGAGAATGCTTAATCACCAGAAAGCTTTTTTAGGCCTTTTTTTTTTCAGTCTCTCTTCTTCTACCCAAAGGTTTTAAATGATACCTGGGTTTCCTTTCCTTCGTGGTCTGAGGACTCCACCTTTGTGAGTTCCAAGAAGACTCAATATGAAGAACATATTTATCGTTGTGAAGATGAACGCTTTGAGGTACAAGCTTTTTTGGCATTTGAAGTTTGGGGAAATGGGAGATGCTCAGTGAAAGACTATCTCAATACCTGTCTCTGAGGGGCCGGCTTTTTAAGATGGAAGAGCCAGAGGCTCACATTATTTAAGATCTGTATGTATTGTTACCCCTAGCAAGTATCTTGACATAGTTAGCAAACCAGCTCTGTTATGAGAACTGGAATATTTCTTTCATGCTTCTAGTATTGATTCCTTCTTTTTTTTTTTTTTTTTGAGACAGTGTCTCATTCTGTGACCCAGGCTGCAATGCAGTGGCACGATCATAGTTCATTGCTGCCTCAACTTTTCAGGCTCAAGTAATTCTCCCACTTCAGACCCCCACCCCTGCCTGCCACTGAGTGGCCGGGACTACAGGTGTGTGCCACCATGCCCGGCTAATTTTTTTTTTTTTTTTTTAAACTAAGTTTTGGGATACAGGTGCAGAATGTGCAGGTTTGTTACATAGGTATACATGTGCCATGGTGGTTTGGTGCACCTTTGCTGCACATGCGTTAGGTATTTGTCCTAATGTTCTCCTTCCCTTTGTGCCCTATCCCCCAGTGGCTAGTTTTTTGTTTATTATAGAGACATTGTTTTAGTGCATTATCCAGGCTGGTCTCAAACTCTTGGGCTCAAGTGATCGTCCCACCCTGACCTCCCAAAGTGCTGGGATTACAGATATGTGCCACCATACCTGGCCTGAAGGATGGTTAAAATAGGGACTTTCTTTTTTTTAAGGCAGAGTATTGCTCTGTCACCCAAGCTGGAGTGCAGTGGCATGATCTCAGCTCACTGCAACCTCTGCCTCATGGGTTCCAGCCATTCTGCTGCCTCAGCCTCCCAAGTAGCTGGGACTACAGGTGCATGCCACTACACCCGGCCAATTTTTTTGTATTTTTAGTGGAGATGGGTTTCACCATGTTGGCCAGGCTGATCTCGACTCCTGACGTTAAGTGACCCACCCGCGTTGGCCTCCCAAAGTGCTGGGATTACAAGCATGAGCCACTGTGCCTGTCCCAGGGACTTTATTTTGAAGTAGTTGGGAAGAGTGGAGGTGGTAGAGAGCCCCATACCGCTATGTCAGGAGGGGGACTACTGAAAGTAGGCTCAAAATCCCCAGTGTGTTTGTATGTCTAGTTTACATTATCATTATCAAAAATGGAAGTCTAGTTTGTCTAAAGAGGTAAAATGACATGTATCCTATTTAGTATGTCTATTACATTAAATTGACTGGCTGCGCTTATTTGTGTGGATAGGTGTCTTACTAGTGTTTTTTTTTAATACTCTTAGCTCTTTGCCAGTTTTTCCGTGTCACACTTGCTTCAGCTGTTTCTGGTGTGTTTTTAATGAACAGCCACATGCTGCCTTACCACTGGCAGGTGGTTGGCCATCTTTGCCCCAGCATTTATAAGGAGTTGCAGCTATTTGCAGAAAACTATATCATGACAGATGTTAACTTCCATAGGGAGTGTTATCAAGCTTAAGAAGGCATTTCTTTGTTACTTCTGTTTAGTGGGGTTAGCGGATGAGTTAGGATAGCTTGGCATCTATTTTTGACAGAATGTTCCCATCCTCTCTCAACTGGTATGCCTGCAAATGAGAGGCAGCCTCATTTCTCATTCGTGACTACAAGGGCAAAGATGAAAGAAGTGTGGGGTGTGCATGTGTTTAAGATTTGATGGGATGGGCTAGTTTGAAGGAACATGCTTTACCAATCATAAATAGGTTAGTAATGCTTCAATACAGACAATTTCCACATTTGAGTGACTTGCAAAACCATTGGGTTTAATTTCTAATCATTCTACATGTACATTGGTGTTTAGCAGGGGATTTGGCGTGTCTGAATCACTTGGGGACCCAGGCCAAGGAATTGAATGTTGCCAGTTACTAGAAGGAAAAGAGAGCCCAGAAAGATCCCTCACCTTTAAATGCTCCAGCCTAGAAGTAATAAAGATTACTTTTACTCAACTCATAACAAATCATTTGCCGGAACTAGTTACATGGCTCTATTCATTCATAAGGGAGCCAGGAAATTTAGTCCATTTTTTTTCTGTATTTGGAGAGCAAGAGGGGCCAGAACTATTGACAAAATGACTACCAGAGTCTCAAAACAAGAAAACATAGGGAACAATTCTGCAAACATTTGGCTGTAGGTCCTTGAGACCGCTCGTTTACTTTTTTTTTTTTTTTTTTT